TGTGAGGCAAGGGGAATTGCGAAGCAGGGGAATATTTAAACAGAGGGAATTGTGAAGCAGGGAGAATTGAGGAGAAAAAATGTGTAAGCGAGAAGGCCGGCCAAAGGCTTTTGAATCGGATCTTGAGTTGAATTGTTTTGTTATGCTAGCGGAGTCACACGACGCCTGTGTGTACCCTATCAGCTGCACCTATTAGATGCTTTGCTTTGTTAAATGTAGTGGTAATCAGGAAATGTTTTAATGCTGGTCAATGTCATGATAATCGGGTTTTTGATTATGATTGGATTAGGGCCAATTTTGAGGTTGTGATAAGTTGATTTGGAGTTTGTTTTTTGGTTTGTTTTGTTTTTGCTAGCGGGGTGGGGCGGCCGAAGGCCGACCAACTCCGCTAGTGTTATAAATATAAGAATTCATTCTTTTCAAAGTTCAGAATTTTCCCAGTAGATCCATTCCATCCACCCCCATATTCCTTTTTCTACCCTTTTCTAACCTGATATTCCTTTTTCTTTTCCGTCTCATTATTCTCATTTTAGTTACTCAAGTTTTTAAAAATTAGATAAAATTTTTATTCCTTTCTTTTAATTATTATATGTCGTTAAATTTTTGATAAGTTAAATAAAATTTTTATAACCATGGTTATCTTATAAAATCACTAAAATCTCATTAATGCGAAATACAGTAATAAAAAAATAAAGAATTAAATAAAAAATTAAAATATTAGCTTTAAAATTATTTTAAATAAAAAATTATTCCAAATTCAATTTAACCCATCAACACTTCCTGAACCCAAAATATTTGCTGAAGAAGTTTGCCCATTAAATTTTATAGTTACGTCAGAGCTTAGAACAAATTTTAAGGCTGAAAATAATTTAAAAATTAATTTTTAAAACAAAAACTAACAAGCAATTAAAGGCTTTAATGAAGGCAAATTATTGCCTAAATCCTCAAACATAATATCAATAATATTTTTCGATTTATCATCCAAGCTATTATAAGAATTTTTTAAATCTTTTTTAAGGAAAATTATAATTGTTTTGATTAACTGAAAATTAAGTTGAGTTTTTTAAAAAATATTTATAAGGTTAATCTTAGTGAAGAACCCAGTACTAATTTCTCAATTAGAGCCCGGACTGCTAAAGTTTTACGAGAATTAAAATTGATATCACAAAAAACATCAATTTTAATTCTTTCCTGTTGATTGCAAATTTTTAATTTAAAACTGAGCAAAACATTGGGGTTTCGTTTAAAAATACAGTCAACTCTCAATTTTAGATAAACCCTCTGGGCTGGAAAAATCGAAAGAAGTTTCTTAAATTAGAGATATAATAATCTTCCCAGCTGATTACAAGAAAAAAATGAATGTTAATTTTGAGATTAAAATAGGATGTAGGGGTTATGAATAAAGTACCAACATTTTTAATTAATCTCTTTCCATCATCATCTAAATTATCAAACATAATCGTCAATTTAACATAAATCATTCTCAAAGCCTCCAATAAAGAATAACATTTTTCTTCCATTTCATTTAAAAGCTCTTTAATGTTGTCAATATTCCCCTTATTTGCATCCTCCAAAACTTTTTTAAATCCATCCAAATCCTTTGTGTCTATCATAGCTAAAGTAGCTTTAAAATCAATTGACATATTTTCTTAAAAATAATTTAAATATTTTTAAATAAAAATTTAAATTTGCCTTCAATTTTCTTTCCAATTTCTTTTAAATTTTCTTCTTTTATCTCCGTGTTATTTAAAGCTTTTTCATTTTTTGCCTTATCAGCAAGTTCTATATACGCTCCCCGAATTGACTCTTCTATTACAGCAATCACATTATCTCCTAAGAATATTTAAATATTTTAAATTACGTTAAAAACTAAACAAAAATAATTAAAATTTTTTTAAAAAACCCTTAATGCAGTGATTAATTCATTAGAATAATTTTAAAAATATGGTCTATCATCTCACCATTTAAATCAAAAATTGAAGTTGAAGGGAATTCTTTTTTCAAGCTTTCAAGAATTTTATTCAAAGCATCTTTGTTTGATTTAAGTTGAGATGAAATTTTAGATTTGAATGTAACATACAATTCGTGAACCTATTTTACAAAATTTTTAAATAAGTTAATGTTTATTATAAATATAATTTATATACTTTTTCCCCCAATTCTTTAGAATTTCCAAATTTTTTTAAATAAGAATCCAATTGTGAGAGTATTCCTTCCAATGATTCGCAAGCTCCAGGCGCACTTTCTTTAAGCTTTTTATATAGAGCTTTTGATTGACCAAATTCATCAGAAACATCTATTTTGATGTTGAGGATGTTAAAAACTCCGTCAATATCATTTGAGTCAATTTTTGAGATTAAAGCAATAACACTTTGGGGGGATTCATCTGTTATAGGGTTATGTATATTAGACACTTAATATTTTTTTAAATTTTATTTTGTACCCTTTAATTTAATAGCCAATGATTTAAGTTTAGCATCAATGTCTGTATCAACAGAATCAATTAGTTTGTCGGGCTCCTCACAACTCCCAGTCAACTTATCCAAAATATCTTTTAGGATATTTTCAATTGTCTTCGCCATACAATCTAGAAAGATTATTTTAGAGTTGATGGTTTAGTATTTAATGGGAACATGCCAAAGTACCGCGAGGCCACTGACCGCCGAGTTATAACTCGTTCAAATTCTCAATTCAGCTCGTCGAGCTGCATCGAACCACCCCAAGGCATCCCGGATGCGATATTTTGAACGAGTTATAGCTCGGCGGTACATTGGCCCCGCTGTACTTTTGGTGTACCCGTATCTAGATTATACTTGAATATAATTTAGTATTTTTAAGTGATTTAAGACAAACTGCATCCGTCGGTTGTTGACGTTATGTTTGGTGTTGTTGGCGTAGTAGTGGTTGGCGTTGTTGATTCTGTGTTTGGCGTTGTTGGCGTTGTTGTTGGAGTTGTAGGAGTGGTTGGCGTTGTTGGCGTTGTTGTTGGAGTTGTAGGAGTGGTTGGCATTGTTGGCGTTGTTGTTGTTGTTGTAGGAGTGGTTGGAGATGTGGATTCTGTGTTTGGTGTTATTGGTGTAGTTGTTGGAGTTGTAGGAGTGGTTGGCGTTGTTGTTGGAGTTGTAGGAGTGGTTGGCGTTGTAGATTCTGTGTTTGGTGTTGTTGGCGTTGTGGATTCTGTGTTTGGTGTTGTTGCTGTAGTTGTTGGAGTTGTAGGAGTGGTTGAGCAAGGTATATTTTGGGACGAGGAAGAACTACCTTCAATATCTATTTCAATAATTCCTTTTAGATCAATTTTAATATTAAATTCAACAAATAATCCAACGAATGATCCGATTAATTGTTTACATTTCTCTTTGTTTTCCGATAAAAATTTTGTAATTTCCTTGAATGCTTCCTTAAGCAGCTCTTTAAATTTATTCAAAAACTCCTTGGCATTTCCAGTCAATTTATTTTCGCAATCATCAATTAATATTTTAATTTTTAAATAAAGGTAATTTGTAGCAGAATAAATTCCCTGACATTTAGTCTTGACATTTTCAGTAAGGTCCTTTACAGATTCTACTTTTCCGTCTTTTAGCAGTTTTATTAGTTCTGTAATGTCACTACTTCTGATTGTCTGCAGCACTTGCTTCAATTCATCAGGAATAGAATCTACATAGATTTTTATATATATTTATTTAAGGTTGACTAGTTTAAAGTTGGGTTCAAACACCGTCCCCGGGGACGGTGGTTCAATGAGGACGGTGGGAGGCTCTCAGGCCGTGCCCGTAACCTCCGCAACTATAGTATTTTTACCTTTAATTTTAGAAGAACTTTGTTCGAAAATCGTTTGATCATTACTTTTATCAATAATCTCAATTGTTAGTCCTGATACTCGAACTGCTTTTGACATTAAAATATCAACACCCATTTGTTTATCTGCTTTCCCTTCAATCATAAGGTTTAGCTTACACATAAATTCGGCAACCTAGTATGTATTAAATATTATTTCTTTAACTATTTATTTCATACCAATAGGCAGATACACGGTTTTCCGTCAAATACTTTTGGTATTATCATACATTCAGATGTTGTTGTCGGGACGGATGGTGTCGTCAATGTTGTGGGAGTTGTTGATGTCGTGAGAGTTTTTGGAGTTGTAAGTGTTGTCGAAGTTGTCTCAGTCGTAGGAGTTGTCGGTGTTGTGGAAGTTGTAGGTGTTGTCGTGGTAGTCTCAGTCGTAGGAGTCGTCGGTGTTGTGGGAGTTGAAGGTGTTGTCGAAGTTGTCGTCGTAGGAGTCGTCGATGTTGTGGGAGTTGTAGGTGTTGTGGGAGTTGTTGGTGTTGTCGGAGTTGTCTCAGTTGTAGGTGTCGTCGGAGTTGTCTCAGTTGTAGGTGTCGTCGGTGTTGTGGGAGTTGAAGGTGTTGTCGGAGTTGTCTCAGTTGTAGGAGTCGTCGGAGTTGTCACAGTTGCAGGTGTCGTCGGTGTTGTCTCAGTTGTAGGTGTTGTCGGAGTTGTTTCAGTTGTAGGTGTAGTCGTTCTTGTCTCAGTTGTAGGTGTTGTGGGAGTTGAAGGTGTTGTCGGAGTTGTCTCAGTTGTAGGAGTCGTCGGAGTTGTCTCAGTTGCAGGTGTCGTCGGTGTTGTGGGAGATGTCTCAGTTGTAGGTGTCGTCGGTGTTGTGGGAGTTGTAAGTGTTGTCGGAGTTGTCTCAGATGTAGGTGTCGTCGGTGTTGTGGGAGTTGTCATAGTGGTAGGTGTCGTCGGTGTTGTGGGAGTTGTCATAGTGGTAGGTGTCGTCGGTGTTGTGGGAGTTGTAGGTGTTGTCGGAGTTGTCTCAGTTGTAGGAGTCGTCGGTGTTGTGGAAGTTGTTTCAGTTGTAGGTGTCGTCGGAGTTCTCTCAGTTGTAGGAGTCGTTGTTGTCGTCGGAGTTGTCTCAGTTGTAGGTGTCGTCGGTGTTGTCGAAGTTGTAGGTGTTGTCGGAGTTGTTTCAGTTGTAGGAGTCGTCGGTGTTGTGGAAGTTGTCTCAGTTGTAGGTGTCGTCGGTGTTGTGGGAGATGTCTCAGTTGTAGGTGTCGTCTGTGTTGTGGGAGTTGTTTCAGTTGTAGGTGTCGTCGGAGTTCTCTCAGTTGTAGGAGTCGTTGTTGTCGTCGAAGTTGTCTCAGTTGTAGGCGTTGTCGGTGTTGTGGGAGTTGTCATAGTGGTAGGTGTCGTCGGTGTTGTCGGAGTTGTCTCAGTTGTAGGAGTCGTCGGTGTTGTGGAAGTTGTTTCAGTTGTAGGTGTCGTCGGAGTTCTCTCAGTTGTAGGAGTCGTTGTTGTCGTCGAAGTTGTCTCAGTTGTAGGCGTTGTCGTTGTTGTGGGTGTTGTCTCAGTGGTAGAGGTTGTCTCAGTTGTTGCTGTCGTCGGAGTCGTTGTCGACGGGGCTGTGGGAGTTGTTTCAGTTTTAGGTATCGTCGGTGTCTTCAACGTTGTGGGAGTTGTTTCAGTTGTTGTCTCAGTTGTTGCTGTCGTCGGAGTCGTTGTCGACGGGGCTGTGGGAGTTGTTTCAGTTTTAGGTATCGTCGGTGTCTTCAACGTTGTGGGAGTTGTTTCAGTTGTTGTCTCAGTTGTAGGTGTCGTCGGAGTTTTTTCAGTTGTAGATGTCGTCGGAGTTGTTGTTGTCTCAGTTGTAGGTGTTATTGGCGTTGCTGGCGTAGTACTTTCATTTGTCGTAGCATTGCCCTCGCATTTGATAGGAGAACATTTATTTCCTTCATCTTTACAGCTTATACTCTTAGCCTGTTCGATTATATTTGTGAATATTATTTTAAAAATTTAAATTTACTTTGACATAATAATCAGCTGTGCTATTCATCTCCTTGAAGTAATGAATTTTTCTGCTTACCATCCCAAGTTGATCTGATAACTTTAACCTTTTTCCATTATCGCCTACTAGTTCTTGTGTGAAAGGATCAATGTTGTTCAATCTTGCATACATATGACATTCTGCTATGTTAATTTTTGTGGATTTAGTGCTAATAGGTAAAAATTCTGTGGAACATTTAGATGTCTGGTCGGCTTTTCAAAACTTTGCTTTCGAGTTTAGAGTTTCAATTAGAAAAAGGGCAAGTTTTTGTGTATTCTGTTTCTGGTACCATAAAGACAACCCTGTTTAGTGTTCGAGATAGATGTTGGCACAGAATACTTAATCTATTCGATAATACCTGTATCACAATAAGCATTTATTACTATCTCAGCATAAGCATTTTCCAATTTCCAACAGACATCTTTTTCATCACAAACACAAAAATTCTCAATTTTTTCACAATGCATATTTATTGTAGACGCACCAGCTTTAGGCCCAGTTGTTGGGAGTTTACTAGCTACCGGATTGAAGAATAAAATTTTATTTGTTGGGTCAAAAGGACATTCACATTCTCCTGCTGGTATTGTTTGTGTACCTATTTGTTTTTCTAATTTATTGTAAATTAGCATTGCTGTGTTTGGTGGTTGTTGACAGCTATTAGGTATTCCAGAAATTTCAATTCCTCCAATAATTGTAAAGAGGAGATTCACAACAATTAAAAGATTTATAAAAACCATTTTAAAAAACAAATTTTTTATTTAAAAAAATATTTTTAAATTAATTTTTTAAATTAATTATTTTGGGTTGTTTAACTTCTCAAGCTATTTTTTTATTTTCGAAATTATGCATTTATAAAAAAAATATTAAAGTGCAACATGTAAAAAACTGCTGTGAAAATAAGAATTTTAATAGACAAAAAAACTTAGAATAAGTGCATTAATGTTACAAAACTTTAAAAAAAATTTTAAATTTGATGATGTAATTATTAAAAAATAATTTAATGAAATAAATATAAATCTAGCATGACTTGAACTAATTGAAACCTCCCCCACTCCTGCTCCCCCCACCTATTCACTTATTTATTAAATCGCAATACCTACATACATATATTAAATTGTAACTTGGACCTTTAGCCTTCTGTTAAAGATTGTTGATCTGATTTGAAATTCCTAATCATTCCCTTTTTTATCATAATAAGTTATTTGCTTAAATAAATAGGTGTAATTTATATAAATAATGTTTTTATCCAGAATGTGAAATGTTACAATTTTTGTTTTACTTTAAAAACCTTAGTAAAAAACTTTAAAGAATTTACAAATGAAAAAAATTTAGGAATAGCTAAAATAAAATGGATGAGTAAATATTTACAGAGTTAGAAGAATTTAAATAATAATGTTTAAATAATAATGAATCTCAAAAAAATTTAAATAATAACGAATTAAATAATAATGAATCTTTTGTGGAATGAATACAAATGCTGCTTCATAGAAGCAAAACATTGACTCAAATTGAATTTAAAAATAGGGACAATACCGTTAAATAGTGGTACGGCCCAAGTAGGCACGTGGCCAAGTAGGCGAAAAGCCATAACTTGCTTCAATATTTCTGAATCTTTGAAAATTTCTATTAAACGATTCCTCTCATCGAGCTAAAGAGATTGGTACCAAAATTGTTAAAGTCCAGAAATTCACCAGCTAGAGCGAGTCCCTGTTAAAACTTGAGCGAGTCCCTGTTAAATATATGAAATAATGTGAGTGTTGTGGGGAACATAAATAATAATAAAATGGTTAGTTAGGGGCTTCTTCAAATCACTTCAATTCACTCACAAATCAAACACAAAATTTTCTCATTTCTCTTTTTACTCATTTTTCCCGTCATCTTTTCCTTTTTTAAATAATTTTTCCATAAATTTCACAAAACGTTTTTGGTATTCAGAAGGCTCAATAACTGACATTGGTAACTTTAAAATTAAATTATTTTAATGCTAAAATAATTAAACTTACAATTTTCTCATCAGGAAACAAATCATTTTTTCTCTATAATAAAATAATTTTTATTAAAATTTAATTATAAAAACATTTTTGTTTGTAAAATAAATTCTGTAATTTTTATCTAATCCAAAACCCCCTACAAACAATTTATTTTAAATAACTTACTCCTTGTTTAAACTCTAACATTTTTTGTTTTAATTGTTTTCTTAAACTGTAATTTTGGAATATATCAATAATTCCATAAAATAATATCAATTTTTTCTTCTCGCAAGAATTTTCAGTACAAATAATTGCTTTAGCTTTAATTCCGTTTTTTACTTCATTTTCACTACAAATTATTTTGTAATTTAAAAAATATATTATACAAAAACCTTTCGTTTCCAGTAACAAAATGTACACCTAATAGAAGGCTGTAGTCAATAATATTTCGCTCGGAGAGAAACTTAATAATTTTATTTTCATTAGATTAATTATAAATTAAATTATGAGAGTGTGTACTGAGAGTGTGTATTATTTACATACACACTCTCAGTTGTATATAGGTGCATTTTAGTTTATTTGGTTGACCGCCTGAGGAATTGCCTAAGCAATACCCACAAAATTATCTACACTAATTTACTATCTACACTAAAAGATTATATTTTTCCAATTTTAATAACTTTTCTCTAATTAATTTACAAAAATAATATTTTTATTTTACCTTACTGTCTGCTTCAATCATTCCAATAAATCTCTCATATTCCTCATTTTTATCAAAAACTATCCCTTTTTTAAATATTTCCATAATATTTTTTTCTTTCAAAACCTTTCCATTGCCTCCATTTTCAATAATATTCTCAATATTTCCTTCAACTTTACGAGATGACCCTTTTAAGTCAAACTTTAAATCCAATTTTGGTATTCCCTTTGGAAACAGTCCATTTTGGATTGTGAAAATAATTGGTTCTTTTAATGTATCGTTCTCAGTAATTTCCTTAATTAAAAGATTTTTAAATTTAAATTTTGATTATAATTCTATCAATTCTTAAAACTACATATTTTTTAAATTTAGTATATCCTAAAGAAGTTGCGCGGGACATGTAAAATGTTAAAATGACAATTCTCGAGTCGTGGGATATACTAAAGGGAAAATGAATATTGGAAAGGTGTGGGTTAAGTGATAGAAATTGAAGCAAAATTTGAAGATAAATTGTTAGATTGTTGTAGACCCTATAAATATTATGTTTTCTCCAAAGTTTTCATTTTAATTCATGAAAACCACCAAAACATGAAAATAATAATTATGGAGTCCTGAGGAATTTAAGCGGATCTTGCTTCAGTGAGCTTTAAAAAATCCGCTCTTTTATGTCAAATCCTTCAGATTTGAAAATATATTTTTTATTTATTAACCTTTGGCCGAAATTTTGTCCATATATTTTTGTCTTTATTTTTAAGCCCGCTCAAAAAAATGTTAATTATGGCGGGCCAAAAGGCCTTTTTTGAACCTTGCATCCCTGCTCTTTTTCTCCCCATTCTTTTAAATCTCAGGCCCGCTCAATTTAACTAGGAAAAGCCCTATTGTATTTTTGTGTATTTTGATTCGGCCTTAAATATGTCCTATCTCTTCCCTTTCGTCTATCTTTGCAACCCTTTGCACTGGTTGTTTTGGCCAACTAATTTTGAATTAAAATGTGCAAACACCTCCCTCTTTTTGCACATTAAAGCCCGAATATAAAAATGGAAAAGTGAGCAGTTTGGCTCAGTTTTTTGAACTTCTTACTCATTCCTTCCCCCAGAAAAGAGTTGTTCCCCGTTCAGTTAGATTTGAAGATTTGCCCCTTTTTATTTTCTTGATATAAGTTTGTTCTCTAAAAGATTTGGCCCCATATTTTGTTAAAAGAAAAGATAATATTCTGTTACTTTAAATTTGTTTGTCCCCTTCTTTTGTTTGGATTTTAAAGAGATTATTTTGTTAACTTTACTTATTGGTTTGGAAATAAAATTGTTAAAGCTTTGTTAAATCATTGAAGATTAAAGTTATTTTTGAGTTCAATGTATTTTCCCTCCCATTTATTAAAATTCTGTTTAGAATTTTACAGCTCAGCCGGTGACGAGCCGAGATCTTTTTCTTTCAACTCTTTTCAGAAATATATATTTTTTTCTTAAAATTTTTTGTTTTCCCGTTATTTTATAAAAAGTTATATTTTGTTTGCTTTTAAAATTCCGAATTATTTGTTATTTTAAAAAGGAATGTCACTAACTTTTCGGAATCAATTGTCCCAGCTTTGCTCCATCACTAAAGAAATACTTCTCCCTAGCCCTTTCTCTGCTCTAATAGAAGATTATGATAATTTTAAAACCCAATCTCCCGAATCTACCCAGACATTAATTAATGAAATAGACCTTACCTCCCAAGAGATCACCAAAATCCTAAATGATTTTAAAATAGCCCACGATTCATGGCAAAAGTTAAGAATTGCAATGTCAGAAAATGAAAGGGCAAATGATAGCCAAATTTTAGAGAAATTCCTTCAAGAAACAGATTATATAAAAATTATGTATGACCTTAAACGGTATCTGAGAAAGCTTCGGAATTCCCGACATGAAGTAGAAAGTAACTTACCTAAAACTAAACCTCAATTTGACCATTCACATCTCCTTCCTGAACTTCCTCTTTTAAACCCTTCCCAGAACAGACCTTTTAATGAAAATACTCAAGACTCGTTAAAACCAGTTTATACAAATACTAGTGATAAATCTTATCGAAACCGGACCCTCTCTAATTTTTTCTCGTATCCAAATCCTTCGATTACAGAAGAATCCGATGAGAAACTAGCTAATATTCCGACCCCCTCCATTAAAAGTTATATTAAAGACATGAATAAATTAGATCCAATCCCTATCCCTCCTGGCTTTTCCCCTCTAGAAGAAATAAATGTTGTAGAGAACCCTAACGATTTAAACAATCAGATGAGTGAAGAAATTGTATTGGATAAAAGAATTACAAATGAAATTATTAATAAAAGACCCATTAGTCCCCCTCCCGGCTTTACTCCTATTGATGAAGTTTGTATTACTAAAAATATTTGTGAAGAATCTACCCCCTTACAAGAGATTATAAATGAAGATAATAAAGTTAGAGCTTATAATTATTCTAAAGAAATGCCCCTTGTTTTAACTGACAACTTAATTCCCGATTTATCCTCAGAACGTCCACTTATATCTCTTGAAAATTTACAACAGTCTATCTTATATGTTACTTTTAATTCTTCAATTGGAACTACGAATATTAATTCATCAGAAAATGATTATATTCCTACATCAGAAGAGATATTGGAAG